GGGAAAGTTTTGTCTTTTGTAGGTGGCTCTAGTGGTGAGATACTGTCAGCGGTTTTAAAATCTGTGAAACCATCATCGGTTCCTGAAGGCTTGAATTCTGCAAGGTTATCTCCTGAGAATAAAAACAATGAAAAAACCCACAATGAGACACTGCAGTGACAACACACGCACCATACTCATGCCATGCAAGCAAGCAAATTATTTCATGCAATGTCAGAAGATTTTATGCAAACGATTTCAATTAAGACCTCGGGAACTGCAAACTCAACATCTGTGAACCACACAAGTTCCAAGGTCAGCGATTCTACTACTCATTCCAGCAAATACCTAAGTCTTTCAACTAGCCTCAAAGTCAGATGCCATTCCATTTACATTGAGTAAATATCAAAACACAACATGACCAGCACTTTCAAGAGGTGATCAGTACTGTCTCACCCGGCTTCCAGGTAAGTTCTTTTTCCCACCTCATCCTTATTTGCCAAGTAATTAATGCTGTCTTGAATTTCACTTACACCAATTCTTACAGAAGTAATTCTCCCCCTCCCTTCCTTTAAAATATTGCCCAAATGCAGTTCTTTTTTGGGGTGTCAGCAGAGGGTTGGGACAAAAGCAACCCTGCTGATAATGTTGAGTCATTTAACCCATTCACCAGCATGTATGTGCTTGTAATTTCTGATGCAAACTGATGCAAACCTGCAGACAAGTGTCCAATACACAGATTTTGTTCTATTTTAGAAGTACATCATTAAAATGTATTTTTTAAGCTATCACACAGTGTCATGCCTTAAAATAATTTAACCAAGATTTAAAAGAATACTCTATAATAGTAGTAAAGGACCATGACTGTACCTGACACACTCTTCCATTCTCCCTCCCCTCCAAATCAATTCACTTGGCCCAGCAACAGTACAAATATTGGTGAAACTGCTACTCACTGATCAAAACTAAAACATCACAGCAAACTAAACTTACTGATGCATTGCAAACTTTTCCATTAGAAATGTAAGCTGGTGAAAGGGTTAAGAGTGGTCAGACCTGGACAGCAGGCAAATACAGAAATTTTCTATATATTGTAGAACATGAATGGAAAGAGATAAAATGTTATTTCATTTCATTGTGTGTATTTAATCCTGAGGAGGTACTGAGCATGAAAACCTCACAAAGAATTACAGGAGTTTCAGAAACTCAATGTCTGAAAAAGAAATTCCATCTGAAAAATATGGAGGAGGAGGAGGGAACTCAGGTAAGCAGCTTTATCCTAAAATCTAAAATTGTTTTCTATGAATGGAACAAAATGCTGGATCTAACAGAACTCTGTGTAAGTTCAGGTTAAATCAGTAACATGTTTATCTTCTAATCTGCCTACTGATAATATATGAAAGTTTTTCACCATCTGATTAACAAGATGAGATTACCACTTATATTGTGTAACCAAGTCAGACAGGGATCTGGAAAAGGCTCAGAGAAGATTCTGCTTTTGTAGTTACACATGTTGCAATTCAGATGCCATCTGAGTTTCACTCTTCCCAATCAAAATCAGTTAAATGCAAATTTCAAAATAAGTGATCAGATTTATTCCTAGAGCACCAGAGACTACAAAAAGTTTAAATGCTGCCCTAAAAATAGAGTTGCAGTTTTGTCCAAAAGTATCTTGTTCTGTCTTCTAAGAATATATGACTCCTTAGTTAAAAATGAACAAATTCCAGCCATGCTGTTATTTTAAAATAAAACTCAAAGGCATCCAAAGGAGATGCCAATTGTCTAGAAATACAATGTGTAGATTGCTCCAATAGCGTATCAAACTCAAAAGCAAAACTATTTTAGAAGTTTAGCAATGAAAATTCTGCAGCTTATAAAAATGACCATAAAGACATGTTAAAACAGCTCCAAAACCCACACTGCTTACCTAGGTATTTGCTGTCTGATGGTTGTTCCAGTTCACGGAACGCACTGTACTTATCTCCACAATCTAGTGAACATAAGAAAAGGAACATTTACATTCAGATGTTAGGAATTCCTATAATAAAAATGATAATGAAATAATTGCTATGATTGTTAAAAACATTAATTTTATCTAAAAAACAAGATCTATGAAATATTGCAATAAATTGCTTACAGTGGTTCTATATTTTTCCTTTTACCTCCAAAAGTAGCTGTACTTTCAGAAGGCTTCTCAGCTGCAATTCCTTTAAACACAGCATACTTATCAGTTGATGAGAGTGTCTTATTACCTGGGAGTGGCATTAGTAAAGAAGGAACACTAAAAATAAAAGAGATAAAAGTTCTTTAATTTATTGATGAGAAATCTACATTTCCAGGTTTCATTTAGACGAGCTATGAATACAGAATTGGAATTGTTAACTTCATCTTGTACCCTAAGGAGTTAGTTCTTAATCAGGAACTTGATGAAAACTACCTCAGGATCTATTAAGAGTAAGAGCATCTAGAGGCAGCTGTGCAACTGATGGGTGAATTAGCACTTTATCTCACCTAATCATATTTCTTTAGGCCAGAAGTCAATTTTCACCCTTCTTGATTTTCCTTTGTAACAACATGAACAAAACACACCAGAACTTTACATCACATAATTTCTTAGCCCAGGGGAGAATAACCACACATGCACACCCCAAGAATCACTGCTGTCTCACTTTAGGGCTTTGCCCAGGGCAGCATAAGGACAATTCCCCCTGATAAAGAGTTAAAACTGCATGAGATTTTGCCAGCTCCATACTTCCAGCTTATCTACTTTTGATTCTACTTCATTATATATTGCAAAATTAAGAGAAGCAGCAGCACAGTACAAAAGGATAACTTTGAATTTCTGTCAGTGCAAATCAGAGAGTTCAGGTTGCTATTTCCTTAGCACAACAAGGATTAGTCCATACATACACGAGCAAATCTTTCTGCACATAAACACACTCTACTTTATATAGTAAAACTGCCACAAAAATCTAACACCATGTCAGCAACTGCTGCAAGATTTAGCAGAGGTTCTGCAAGAGCTTTGCTTGCCCTCCACACCAGTCCCCTTATCAGACCTTGGCAGCTCTACAGAGCAACATCCTTTACATATGAATGATGTGTTTTACCTCTTAGTTTATATTATTCAATTCTATGCACATTGAAAACGTGAATTTCTATGGCATTCTTTGGCCTGAAGGAAGAATCTTTCCAGAGCCATTTAAATCTCCTTATCAGCAGCCTACAAGCAACACACAAACGTAGCACTTCCCCACACATGCTACTGAGGGTCTGTGATGCTTGCAGACAGACAGTGCAATGTCAAAAAAATATAGCTTATGGTAACATAATTAAATTTCACATCACTGCAAAACAGGCTATTAGAGATGCAATCTTGGCAAATGCAATGGTTAATCATCTGTACTCTACAGATGGCTTTTTTTAAAAAATAAAGCTCCATAAGCAATTACATTATAGCTCATTGTAACATTCTGTTCAAAACTGAATGATTTTACAACTGAATAAAGGGAACTGCTGCAGAAAAAGAAACATCCCTTTTATTATTTTTTTTATGATCTCCTACTTTCTGTTGTGGAATTTACAAACAATTTTTCTGCTCAAAGTTTCAGTAAGAGAATAGCATTAATTGCAAAATGAAGTTTCACACAAATAAAGATCTACTTAAAACAGCCTCTTGAGATGCACACAGCACCGTAACGTACAGTTCTGTGTGCAACTAAGAATCACAGAATCATAGAAAACTCTGGTTTGGAAGGGACCTTAAAGTTCATCAAGTTCCAACCCTCCTGCATGGGCAAGGATACCTCCCACCAGACCAGGTTGCTCCAAGCCCCATCCAGCCTGCCCTTCAACACTTCCAGGGATGGGGCAACAACTTCCCTGGGCAACCTGTTCCAGTGTCTCAGCACCTTCACGCTAAAGAATTTCTTTCTAATGTCTGATCTAAAACTCCCACTTCTAGCTTAAAACCATTACCCCTTGTCCTACCAATACACACCCTTGTCAAAAGTCCCTCCCCAGCTTTCCTGTAGGCCCCTTCAGATACTGGAAGGCTGCTATAGCGTCTCCTTGGAGCCTTCTCTTCTCCAGGCTGACAACAGCCTGTTGAATACACGGAAAAGGTGCGTGTCTACAATCAGACACCTGGGAGGTATTTACAAGTTTGCCATGTGCAGTAACAGGAAACAACAACACTGAAATTTTGTCATCACAGGACTTCAAAAGATTGATTTCAAACTCTCAAAGGCAGTAAACATGCTTACTGATTTTGTTACACAAAATTTGCCTGATCTGGAACTACAGGTTGGCAGTGTCCCAAATGAAAAGCCAAGACAGAACGAGATTTCAATCGAGATTTGTAGTCAATTATCAAAAGTTTAAGCACTGGTCAGAGAAATGACAGAAATAACAAGATGCTCCTCTGCTGTTGTGCTCAGTCCTTTAATACAACACCGTGCTCTTTGCATGGATTTTGGGGCCATATCCAGGGTCTGAAGAAAGACCCTGATGTCAGCAAATGGTTTCTACCAACTCCATCAAACATGGGGTCACACCCATAATGGAAGCCCACAGCACTAACTGCAGAACTTCTCTGTCCCTGGGTACTTTTTCTGAATAGCTTTGGGTAAGATTTTCCCCAGAATGCACAGTATGAAGTCACTTTCAATTGCCTGTGCAGCAGTATAAGCACTTACAAACCTCTCTCCAGAGCTTGTAAATGTGATTTACCTCAGCATGATGACTAGAATGTCAAAGAACGGCCAATCACCTCTGGTACAGCAAATGTAATTTTTGATTCAGAAAGCCTAATTGTAGTTGCAACAACCTTCAAAAGAAGTTGTCAGAGAAGAAGTCAGGTGACCAGGAAATTACAGGCTAGAAAGCTAACCACAAAAGAGGAAAATATTTCGTATCTTAAAAAGAGTTTGAAAATACTGAAGGGGCAGGAACCAAAGATCTACCTGCTCTGGTGCTGTGAACTGGCTGCTTTGGAGGAGCCAGCTACATCCCCTTGGAACTCAGTGAAAGAGTCATCTAGTGAGCCTGACTTTGAAGCATCTTGAAACTCCTGGAAGTCATCATCTTCTGGTTTCACTACCTGAATTACAAACAGCACGTAAATTGTTATAGTTTCGTCTTCACAAATTGTCATATAGCATGAACGCAGTTCAGAGCAGTGAGATTGACTTAAGAATTAAAAAAAAACAAGCAAAAGTCAGAAAAAACCTTTCAACATTAGCACAGAAAATTTGTATGGTCAGTGGTTCCACTTTGCCTGCACTTCACCCAACTCAGAACACACACAAGGATTACAAGAAGGATGCAAGAAGAACAGTAGAATAAAATATCCTACTCTAACTCCCATATTAAATGTATCATTGATGTTAGCCAGGTAATACCTTCAATACAGGACAAATATTAATAATTTAAATCAATCAATAATGTAAAAATCAATACACACAGCAACAGCATCAGAAGAAATACCTTCCAAAGGATGAAACATACCTGCAAACAGCAGAATTTATCCCCTACATGACTTAGTGTTGTAAGCCAAAGGTTTTAATCGTTCCCAGCTTACCCTGAAAACTCTGAGTTATTTTACCAGCCAGTCTGTTGTTTAGTATAACCTAAAGTTGCATTTCAGGTTTATCACAAAATCCTAACTACAACTAAAACCCTCTTTCAATGCAATTAATTTGTAATGGAGAAAGCTTTTGTACCTCTTCTAATGCCACCAGAAAGAAAAGGAAAAAAGGAAAGGACATCCTTAGTGGCACAACTTCATGCTTTTTAGACATCACCTACTAGATTTCAGCTCAATTTTTTTTTTTTTTGCTCCTGACCTAAAGTCTGTTGTTACTACACATCTTTAACAGCCAGACTAATTCTCTCTGCAGAACAGTGGAGATGTGCCAGGCAAGAATCACAGAATGGTTTGGGTTGGAAGGGACCTTAATGATCATCTAGATCCAGTCCCCCTGCATGGGCAGGGACACCTCCCACCAGCCCAGGTTGCTCCAAGCCCCATCCAACCTGCCCTCGAACGCTCCCAGGGATGGGGCAGCCACAGCTTCCCTGGGCAACCTGTTTCAGTGTCTCACCAAGAAGAGGGAGCTGACCTGGCCAGGTGGGAAGGAGGGCAGGAAGCCTCCCGAGGGCTGTGGGGCAGCTCCACCCCCTGGTGCCGGGATGCTCAGTCCCACCACGGCCGGCCCCATGCTGAGGGGCACTGAGCCGGGTGGTGCCGCGGGCAGCAGGGGCTGCTGGCTCATGGCAGGCAGTGGCATGGGAAAACCAGTCAACGTGGGGACTGGAGCTGCTGGAAACTGGTTTAACACATCAGGACTCACTGCGGGTATTCCTCTCTGTAAAGGCAGAAAAGCAAAGACAACCATGGACACATCAATTAAAAGGCAAACAAAAATTCCAGTTTCTAGCTTTTATTCCTGGATAAATGAAAGAGCAGGGAAATGTTCAAGCTTCAAGTAAACCTCCTGAACCAAAACATGTTGTCAAGAGCATAAATGAGTGGATCACATCCCACACCCTGTGTTTGACAGCAATCTTGTTTGGCTCCTAGTAAGCCAACCTGGTAAGCAGTAGCAAGCAAAGCTGTGCTGAACCTGGTGCCATATCATCCTTCCTACACACCCTCCCACAAGGCACCTCAGCTTTGGTCTTTGTCACTCAAGATACTCTTGTCTTACTTCGTATACAGGGCTGGTACTTAGAAATTAGCTGCTAAGAGATGATACAACTGACAAAGAATGGAAGCAAGTCAAGCCATTTGCAGACTAAGGGATACAGGACTCATACAGTTGGAGGAAAACAGATGTCTCTATAGCAAGAGAAAAACAGTGTTTTCTAGTAGAAATACATACACGTGTTTGGTAGGTATATCTGAGAACTATTTTCACTTGACACGAGAGAAAGGAGTAACTGCAATGTAAGTACAGTGAATGAAATTATAATCCCATTCAAGTTACAAGGGGAGTTTTTCCTCCAGACTTCAACAGAAGTGGTGCTTTACCACAGGTGTGAGACACCAGCCACTGGTGCCAACACACAACGTAAGGCAGATTAGTTGAGTGAAGTGGCCTTGTGCCTTGTCCCCAGGGCATCAGTCGTACCTGAGTCACTGCTATCATCCCCAGCACAGCATAGAGCTCCTCCTTGGTGAGCTTCCCAGGGGTGGTTCGGTTGGCTAAGGCCCAAATCTGCCCAAGGGTCTCTCTGGGCAATCCAGATGACATCAGTATGGGATAGAGCTTAGCTGTATCTATTCCAGTAGGAGTCAAAGTGGTTTCTAAAATTTTCTTATACAACTCTGTTAAGAGTGAACCAGCATTAGACAGTGACAACTGCTGTTTTCAAGTAAATTTAAGGTTGCTTTTCTGTTTTATCTCAAACTCAATAACATATCAAATTATTAACACCAAAAGTGTAAAGCAAGCATTCTGGCATTGTATGGTATCACTGTGTTTCATCTAAATGTGTTATTGGATGGCCTTTGCAGACAAGTTTAACACAAGCAAATAAGTATTTTATATAAAATACTCAATTTCAGAACACGTTTAATGAAATTGCAGGATAATCCATACAGATTATACATACAGCTATAACAGCTTTATGTATTTAAACCTCAGTGTAATCAATAATTACTGCAGTATTTCATCTGCTATTTACTGTTATTTGCATATATAAGATAAATAGCCTTAAGAAATGAGCCTGCTTAATTACAAGACATGCCAAAAAACAAACTACCCATGAAAGCAGTATTATCAGCAATCCAACCTCTACTAGCATAATCTGCTATCCTAACAAATTCTAGATCAAACATTTAAAATGCTTGAATAAGATTTGTGCTTCTTCAAATGCAGAGAAAGCTACAATAAATATGTAACCTATCAAAGACACAGGACTTGTTTGATGATTGAAGAAGAATGCATTAATCAATAAATGGCAACCTAAGCACAGGTACATTCACACCTTCCACTGCCCATTTGGCTAACTGCCTGCTTTCTTGTTTACCTGGCACCAAGGTGTCGTTGTAAATCCAAGGAGGCATCATTTGCTGAATTGGGTCCTGTGAAGGGAACACTCCAACTCCTAAACACATTCCATTCAGGAAAAGACAGACAGTTGTATTAGGATATACAGATTCAGAGTATAAAGATCTTAGAGACTAGATTGTAGTTGGTCAGTATCATGTGGCATTTCAGGCAAAGATTTCAGATAAGAATCACTGTGCTCAGAAGAAAAACAGCTACTGCAGGAATATGTATTTCAACATTAACTAGAATGATTTGGCAGTAACAGCAAGAATGCAGTTATATACATAATGAAACGAGGAGCTTCTCATTTGCCTCCCTCTTAATTTCTAGCTCAGGTCTCACTGTGTCTTAAAATTTCACAGCAAATTGATTATTTCCTTCTCCACTGCATGGACTCTCTGCCTCAGTCTCACTGCTTTACTTCCTATCTATCTCCCTTCTAAGCAGTTTTAAGCTCATCTTGGATGGAGCTCTGGTCAAAATGAGAATAATTTGAAATTTCATTGTGTTTCTCTCCCTTCTCCATCTCCTCTCATCCTCCAGTAAAGAATACATGTACTTTCTATCATACTTGACTACAGTGGAGCCCATGTTTCATGTAACCCTTGAATAAAACACAAGAGCACCAGTAAAGATGGACCAGAGACCTTGCATCTATTTTATCTGGAATGCAACAAAACCAGTCAATAGTCAGCTCCAATAAATCCAGAACTGGAAATTAAAGCTTGTTTCATTTTTTCATCTAGTTCAGTTTTTGACATATACTTTTAGTAGCAAATTGTCTGAGAAACATATTAACTAGCTAAGGGCTTTAACCTTAGTTAGAAAACTAAGTAGAAAACCCACTACAACATTGACAATCTTAAGCAATAAGTTTCTTTAAATAATTAAAACATATAAAAACCTTTGGAGAGCACATCTTTTTTGCTCCCAAGAAAGAGGACAGAATATTGTAAAACAGTAGACCTGATTAAACAAAGATGTTAAAAGTGATTACAGCAATACACTCACGTGGGAAAAGTTTAGAGTAAAATCAACATTGCTACACTTTTAGCAAGGAGCAGGAGGCACTGACATATTATTCAAGCAGGCATTCAGAGCAAAATTATGCAGGATTGGCCTTAGAATTAGGGTACAGAGTGTTAGCATTCAAGCAGCATCTCAGTAGATTTAAATTCTGTCAAATGTTTCATTTGCTCACCACACTCTTCAACTGCTATGTTTTGTTCTGAAGCCTTGTGCACCTCTGCAGCAGTGGTACCACTTTCATGTCCACCTACAACATCCCAATCATTGATGGGTAGACTGGGATGCACTTTGCTGGTAGCTGAGGCTTTGTGCCCAACTTCAGATGCTTTAAGTTTGGTTTGCTCTTGTTCACATTCATGTGAGCCATTATCTAAGACTTTCTCCTCCAAGGAAGAGCCTGAATAAACAGGAGGAATTATTTATGTTTTGTTATTAACCACCCAGATTGCAATTCCACACTTTCAAAGTATTATTGGCACCACTGACGAGTTACATAGATGAGGATCCATCCCAGCTGAGACCAACAGCATCACCCTGTTCAAACACTTTTATAACCTGGTTCTGCCCTTCATTTACCATCATACACAAGTCCAACAAAAACAAGTAGGAGAAGAAATACATGAAAGTATTTCCTGTATTAGGATCACCACTGTATAATCATCAAGGCATCAAATAGCAGAAGTGTCCAATATCTACTTACATCTGCAAAATCCTTCAGGTTAGTCTCACCAACACCCATTTAGCCTTCAAGACAGGAAGCACACAAGTGCCCCACATTAGCATAATAGTTATTTTTTATACCACCATCCCAAATGTATCTTTTTCTGGTGCACAGACTTATGAAGAATCTAGCACACAAGACTAAATTTACTTAAGATCAGCCATGTGCATATTTAGCAATTTTCAGATCCACACCTGACTTGCTTTTACAGTGCAGTTCTAAGGGAAAGAAGAGTGGGACTGAAACCATCTTTTCCCATGGATCAGTAGGTTTCTGCTTAATTGTCTGTGTATTACCTCTTCCAGCCAGACCAAAAAAAACCCCAGTAAGTAAAAGCTTGGTGTAGCTCTATGACAGAAGGTGATACATAAAAAAAAAAATACTTTAGAGTTACCTGTTTTATGGGTATTGGGTGAAGATGCAGAGGTAGGAAGATAATGAACCTGCCCAGTTGTACCATGCAGGATGGATAACACTGGAGCCTGAGCTGGAGGCAGAGGCTGGACCACAGCCTTTTCTGAAAGCAGCTGCCCAGCCTCAGTGGCAGAATGGAAAGGCTGAAAAGGCTGAGGGGTGGGTTGAGGCACCAGTTGGGGAGTTTCAACAGGCCCTTGTATAAAGTCACTAAATTCTTCATCATCAAGAAAAGCAGAGTGGGAAACAGATACAGCAGAATGGGATGATCTGGGATGATCTGTAAAATGGAATGAACACACAATGGAATGAACACGCACAAAGCGATGAGGAAAGAGGTTTCTGGGTGGAAAGGCAGGAAAAGCAGCAAATACTGGGTAAAGCAGCAAATGGGTGAGGGGAAACAGCAGAGGATGCATTATTTGGGAGAAATGTGAGACTTATTATGTCAGCATAATAAACACATAAGGTAGAACTGAGCAGCCACTTCCAACCATGCATCTTCTATCCCAGATTTTGAAAGCTGACTCTGAACGCTGGCTAAGGAAGTGCTCTATTTGTTTTAAACAGAGTGGATCAAAGCAATCAAGAAATAATACTTCAAACTGGACATGATGAAACTGTGCACAGTGGGACACTCTGGCTCCAAGCAGTGCTTTATCCTCAAAAACTCAGTAATAAGGTCTCAGCAGACACAATCTGCTGTTGGATCCCTTGCATGGTTACTCCTTTTAACAGAACTTGATGCGGGGTGGGCACATCTGCAGACAAAGAATGTTGTCAGGAACCACCTGTAAATTCTGCATTATCAAAGAGCAAATAATTTTATACAGGAAAAAGCTTGCCTAAATAAGCTTTGCTTCAGGCTAGACAGAGAACAAACTCTACTACAACTCACAGGAAAGCCTGAGTAGCCATTGTACAAAGGGAGTAATTACTGAGGATACAGAAGGCTTTGGTTTGACCATGCCCTGGCAGTGGAGCACAAGTAAGATGTCACAGTACACTGCAGTCACTACACTGTGTTCTGATCATTCTTAGCACTTGTACAGCACTTCTCAGCTTCAAAAGCACTCTGCAAAACATTAATTAATGCTTTGACTAGAAAAGAACAAGTGCATTATCAGTTTCCACATTTCACATTAAGCACACCACGTTAAGCTTTCTTTTAAAGCTCTCAAGTCTTCTAAAAAAAGCTGATATCCAATTTTACCCTCATAACCCCAAGACTTTATTTTACAAAACAGTGAATCCACTCACTTTGTACCACCAAATAAAAATCCTGCTTGCAATTAGTTCCCCCTTGCTGAAAATTTAAAACATTAGAGTTTTATTTTCTGTTGGAAGATGAGAAAAATTACAAACCTGGCTTTTTTGGATGTGATGCTGGTGTTGGGTGCATTTTAGCATCTCTAGAAAAACCATCTAAATTTCCTTTAATGGCTTCCAAAGCATCATCCCTGCTTTTTTCACCTGTCTGAAACACCACAGAACACATTTTGAAAAATTCACAAAAGTCAGTTTTCTTTCAATATCCACACTTCTTCAGTAAAAAAAGGTAGCAATGCCTGCTGTTAGATTCCCTTCCCTCTCCAGCAGTGCCTTCCTGAGGCATATGAACACATTTAGAAAGCCTTTTTCTTTGCAAACTATACCATAATAGTGTTTCTCAGGCTTCAGGCATAGTTTTATGCAAAGGAACAAACACCACTCAGTTATTTCTGTTCTTGCAGGTAAGAGCCCTTACAAATGTCCAAAATTTTGCACAAACTTAACAAGCAACCAACCAACCATTCTCCATTCCAGAAACTCAATCTGCTTCCAAATATTACACATCAGGTTGTTTTATTTTTCAAAAGCCTATTTCATTTTCAACACCAGACCGTTTACATTACACCAAGAGTGTGCAAAGGACCGACTATTCCACATGCTTTTTAAGATGCAATCTGATGTCTCATGTAAGTTCCCCACTTATTTGTTTATTAAAAGAGACCATCCCATAAAAAACAACACAAACAGAAGAAAACCCCCACTTATTTAGGACATACCTTTGGCTTCACACTGCTTAGGAGTCGCAGCTTTTGTTTCTGCTCTTCAAACTGGCGCCGTTTTCTTTCTTCTTCTAAGAATTTCTGCTGGTGTTCAAACCTCTTCCTGAAACAATGTTGGGTTTTTTTAATTCTAAAAATATTTTTTTCACTCCAGTTTTCATGGCAAGCTTCTGCTCCATTTTCCATTTCTTTTGTCTCAAAATCAGATGTTTTGGTGCACCCATTTCTCCTTCTTCCTAGGGCTCTATGACAGCCACTATTAACTTCACAGGTGGCCCCCAAATGCAATGGAATGATCTCAACAATATTCAACAACTCTAAATGGACAACTTCTCTAGAGAAGCAATTAGTGTTTCTACAGTGTGGATCACCCCTCAAGGCTACATCTCCCCTTTAGAAGAATTTTCCAAGAGTCAGCAAAGCTTCACTTACTGTTGTTCCTCTGCAAACTGCTTCTGCATGTCAGGGGTGTACTGTGGGGCTGCTGGACGCATTCCCAAGAAAGAAGCCTGTCCCATGTAAGGCATTCCAGTCCCTGGCATCGGCCCTAAGGGCATCCCACCCTGGAACAAAAGAAATAATACAACTCCCAGGCTTTTTTTTTTTTTTTCCCCTCGCCACTGGCAATTGCACCCTGTCAAATTGTGAATCAGATCTCGCCAAACGAAGAGCGTTAAGTACAGAGCAGTGTGAGCACACCCTGGTCCCTCAGCAGATGGCACTCTTCCCTCTCCATAACGAGCTACAACTCCTACAGAATATTTTTTTCACTCCAGTTTTCATGGCAAGCTTCTGCTCCATTTTCCATTTCTTTTGTCTCAAAATCAGATGTTTTGGTGCACCCATTTCTCCTTCTTCCTAGGGCTCTATGACAGCCACTATTAACTTCACAGGTGGCCCCCAAATGCAATGGAATGATCTCAACAATATTCAACAACTCTAAATGGACAACTTCTCTAGAGAAGCAATTAGTGTTTCTACAGTGTGGATCACCCCTCAAGGCTACATCTCCCCTTTAGAAGAATTTTCCAAGAGTCAGCAAAGCTTCACTTACTGTTGTTCCTCTGCAAACTGCTTCTGCATGTCAGGGGTGTACTGTGGGGCTGCTGGACGCATTCCCAAGAAAGAAGCCTGTCCCATGTAAGGCATTCCAGTCCCTGGCATCGGCCCTAAGGGCATCCCACCCTGGAACAAAAGAAATAATACAACTCCCAGGCTTTTTTTTTTTTTTTTCCCCTCGCCACTGGCAATTGCACCCTGTCAAATTGTGAATCAGATCTCGCCAAACGAAGAGCGTTAAGTACAGAGCAGTGTGAGCACACCCTGGTCCCTCAGCAGATGGCACTCTTCCCTCTCCATAACGAGCTACAACTCCTACAGGATTTTAGACGACAGGATAGTCTCCCGATCAAAGGCAAAACTCAGGAAGGTACCCTGCACTGCTACACGGGGTTCCGTACCACGCCTTGGGGATTTTTTTTTTCTTTTTATATTTCCTTTTCTAAGCGATTGCATGATATTTTACAATTCCATGCTGGAAGTGCAGACTACGTTTTGCAAACATAGCTTATCCCGTGGGCCAAGGCAAGGAGGCAGTGCACAACAACAACCAAGAGGTGACTTGTCTGAATAAACTGCATCTGTATGCGAAACATTTGCTGAGAAATACATCCTTGTGCAGTTATAGCAGCAAAGTCTGCCTAGCATAAAAAGGCCAGAAAATAATTTACTTCTCTTACTATTAATTTTGTATTCGGTATCTGGACACGTAGAAAGAGAACAAAGGCTGCTCATTATTTTTAGACCAGCTCTCATAAAAAACACCTTCCCACTATGAATTTTACAAAATTAACCTAATAAATTCCAGGTAGGGATGGGAAGGGAGTGTAAGATGGCAGGATACAAATCAGCAGTTTGGCTACAAAGCCACAACATTAAATTTCTGCAAAGTATAAATTTGTACATAAGCACATCTAGTGCTAAATAGAAATCAGAAGTCTCAAAGAGAGAAAATGTAATAGTAGATACTCATATTTCATTGTTCTCCCTCAATTAGCACCAGCAGAGTTAAAGACAAAGTTACTTTAAACAAGAAGAATAATGAGAATGGAACACAGGAAGTTGGACAAATGGGAAAATGGGTCACGTGAGAAAATAAAGTATATTTAAGAGATTCATTGCTCTCTAGAATGAGGCATTTAAAAACAAAGTTTATGAATTGCCACTTGCACTCGGGAAACTTGATTCTATTAACTCCAGCATTTGAGTTACAAAAGGATAAAACAATGCAGTGAATTGGTTGTGATCAATCAGAGTGTGTACACAGTCACTTATCAGCTTATAAAGGTCTCCTTTAAAATCCCACACAATGCTCCACCTTAACAGCAAGCAAAGCACAGCAAAGCAAAAGCAGAAAAAGCATGAAGCAAAATTTAAAAGGCAGAAGAGGTTTGTTGTGGGAGTTTTAAATTGTAGCTACTTAACAATTCAATACTCTTACTAACCACACTGCGGAGTAGATGCCATCTGGGACCTTTTCAGCATCTTGCTGATGCTTTTGTTTCCTTCCCTCTTCAGAGACCACGCTTCCCTGAGCGCACTTTGGTGTCATGACTCGTGTAATGAAATGAAAGTTCACACTCTGACATCTTTGAGTGGGCTACAACATCCATGTTACTTTAAATATAGCTGATGCTGTCCTTGCACTACACCCTCATTTCTCTCTGCTCTACAACAGTGAGTAATGTATGCCAAACTCCCCCACTCACTCCATCCAGATCCCAACAAAGCTTGGAGAATTCTTTTAAATTATATATAAAAACATCTTCAAAGAGAGTACTACAAAATAGGATGTCCCACTACAGACTGATCCCCATATTTTAGTCTCCAGCCAAGTTCCACCCTTTTCAGCCGTCACCTTTCAGACAAGCACCCAGACATCTCCTTTCAGTCCACATTTTATTGCCACGCACCTGCATGGTCATGGGTCCAGGAGGCATCTGAGAACCATAATTCATCCCCATCATGCCTGGCATGTTGGACTGCATGACAGGGACCATTGGAAATCCTTGCTGCTGCATGGGAATCATCCCTACAATGAAACACAAAAAGTGGTAAGCTCCTAGTTAGTGTTAGAGGGTTTCTCTTTTTCTTGTTTGGTTTTGGGTTTGTTTGTTGGTGTTGGGTTTTTTGGGGGCATATTTTGTTTGTGTTTTTTTGGTGTATTCTTGTAACTAAACCAATAAATAAAGGAAAAAAAGAAAACTCTCAGTCTTACTGGACTGCTTAAAAAAATAACAAAAATACTACATTACAGGCAGCCACAGAACCTCCTCAGTTTAGACACTGGTCAGTCTAAGGGAAGAAATGTGATGGGGCTTTCACAATAACCAAGCTGATAGATTCTGCCACCAGCCCGAGGATTCTCTGAGGGTTTCTTCCCGTATGATTTTTTAAAAGGTCATTTCCAATTAACAAGGTTTAATTAAACAGGTTGACTGGTGATGATAATCACCCATTTCTCTTAAAGGAAAACCTTAGATACTGGCAGCTTTTGAAGATGAGTCTTGGGAAATAAACTCATTATTTCACAATGCAGCTTCACACTCTGATCTGCCTGGATAACTTGTCTGTATGTTAATTAGCCTACTACAGACATTAGAATGGTTACAGTATTTGTCAGTAAAAGCTAAACTTCAACAAAATCAAGCTGGAATGTATTAATTCACTGAATAAAGACAAGTGGATTATGATTCATTATTTTCATATCTCATATGATATCTTGGAAGCCACACACTAGCACACATTTGTTACCAGCACACAGTGAGATAATTATAACTGTGCTGAACTGAACATCAGACACAAAAGCTCTTCAGGAGGGACATGACACACTCAGGGGTAATCCATAAATCAGTCCCTGAGATTTTTTAAAAGGAAACTCTCCACTCTCCCTACAAGTTCTCCCTGTATTTTCCATTAATTAAACAGGACTGCAACAGGAATGAGAACAAAGGTAATTTAAGGCTCAGGCTCTCCTATTGTATTAATACTTTCCACACATGTTGTGACTCTTGTCCCAGGGTCTTGCTGTGCTTTGTAAATATTTACCAGGTCTTGCAACACCCACACAATATGGGTATAAACAGCTGGCAGATGAAGCATAAAGAGGTTAAATACCAGACTGAAAATAACACAAACATCTTACAGGCAAATTCAGAGATCTAGTTTTCCTAGATCTTTCATCTAGCATTCTGGTAACACTGCTTCTTCAACATGGCATAGAAAGTTTTATAAATAAGAGTTGTGAGAGTCAGCTCACCAGTCCTGCATTCCAGGGGGAAAAGAGCTACAGAGTTCAATTAATAATCATGCTTCTGAGCACCAGTGCAGAACTTTTTAAGTTTTTTAATGTATCTAAACAGAGAAAAGTGTTTCATGTTCAAAATGTTCATACGTACCTTGAGGGGGACCTAGACCACCTGCTACTGGAAACATGAAGCTGCAGGAGAAAAAAAGGATACATGGAAGTCTATAATTTTAGTGCAAAGATAAATTAATGAAAAAAGCTACTTCAACTTGCATGTCAGAAGCACCAGCCAGAGCCTCCAACCTTCTGGTCAGCACAATCATCTGCTCCAGTAGGTCCCACAGAATCCAACCCCACCTCAGGAAAAAGGTCACCCCTCTCAAGGATCCCCTCAGAGCACTGGAGAGTCCCAGCAGCACCATCATGGGCTGCAAATCCAGGAAGAAAGAGATCTTATCTTCCACAGCAACACAAAAATGGCCTTGAGTCATCAACATCACCCACAAGACAGTCTCGGTGCCTATGCAGGTTGGTTGCAGGTCAGTTTTTCAGTGTAGGCTGGGCCTCCAGACACCACATGATGAATAAGCAACTCCTGTTGGAAGTATCTGATTCAGCAAGGACATTAACTGCACCAGACAATAGTTCTCAGCTGCTTATTAACAGTTTTTCACAGAGAAACAGACTACCCACAAAACCCCACCATCTCTGCATTCTCTGCACCTGTGAAACACTGAGTATCACAAAATAATGGAGTTTCTATTTTCTCAATTACATCTAATTACAAGAAAAATAATGCCTTGCAAAAAATATTCATTCCAGTTCCAAGTGCACCTGGAGGAAGAACTGTTAACATTTCCACTGCATAATGGAAATTGCCAGCCCTCACTTCCAAACAGAACCATATGCTGTGCTGCCAAACAACAAAAAAGGACCCAGTTCAGAAGTCTCATTTGCAAGCAGCTCTAAGAAACCCACATCAGCAGTAATTCACCAGACAAGAACCTTGCTCAGTGTCCCAGGCAGCTACTACATCAAAATACCATGAAAGAGAAACAAACTTATAGATATTCGATATTCCTTAGCACAAGGGAGGATGGAAAAGGAGCTGCCTCAAAGTAAAGGAGAAAATGCTGTCATAAATGACTCCAGACAGGTTTTCAAAACCTGCAGGAAGTTCCAAAAGCCAACCTGGTTTATAAATATAAAAGAGCTATGTAATGTGAGTACCCAGATAAAATAAGGAATTTAAATTATGCATTTATCCAGGAGCAAATTGCACCTACCCACTACACAGACAGCAGGTTATATGGTCACCAAGACAACCCACGTTACTCTTAATTTCATCCTCTTAACTCAGAATCTTCTCAATACTGAAGCTTCTCCTTTACCCTGACCACTATGTGCTAACTCCCCCTTCCACAGCTAACACACACCTACACCTTCTACCAGCTCCAGGTCCTACCACCCTCAATCACCACAATTTCTGGTTTCGCTCTTCAAACCACTGTGCAGACACTAACTACCTCATGCTGGGCTTCCCTGGTTGGGTTCAGCTCACACAGTTCACACCAAGGTCGGTTCAACTGACTGATGTTCAATTCTGTCAGTTTTAATCCACTTCCCAGCAAACAAACATTAACAACACAAAAACAAACAGCTGGCTGAAAAATCATAGAGGCACCCACATCTGAACTCCTGTGTTGGCCAGAAAAACTGTTTTCTCCACTGAAGGGCTGAAGCCCAGTGAATTAATTGGATTTTGCCTGCATCTGGTTTCACCTGTGGAAACAGTTGTCAGTACTGAGTGCCTCCCCAGCAGCACATCCCCTTAAAACACAAGCAAGTTCAGATGGTTTTGAGCTCCTGTCAATTGCCAGACCTGCAAGCGCAGCAATTTTAGGCATCATAAAAACACACCATTCTTAGTTTAGTCAAAATGATGAAATATTAAAAGTCATTTTTTAAAAGCTCGCAAGTGCAGAAAAGTGTTTGTAGCTTCATGTTCTCCCTTTTTATTGGGGAAATCGAGTCAATAAGAACCCTTCCAAATCAGCAAATGTAATGTAAACTGAACAAGCATAGCAAGGTACTACTGCTTGTTGGAAGCAAATAAAGGCCAGACTATTAAATATTTATCCCTTTCTACAGAGCTCCTGATTTATTTATAAGTCTCTGTTGAAAAAAAAAATATTAAAAGCCCAACAAACCAAAAACCTACAGCTAATTAGAGGGCACTGGAAGAAGAGCTAGTTAAAAGGAGCAGAGTACGTGTGGCTTGGATTCAACACAGACCTCACTCCAAGATTTAGCTGTGCAGCTGCCAACATCAGCCACACACACACGTACAGAAACCCCAACAACTTATTTAGCCAAGGAACAGAAACTTAATTTCCAAAATACTTTGCAGAGATGCACAAGAAATGCCCACATGCACCTAGTTAAAGCAGCTGATCCTCATGGCTGAGGAATCAGGCAAAAGCACCGTCCTTGGTGAGGTTAAATGAGGCACTGCAGAAAACCACTGAACTTGGTAAACCACACAGTGGTAGGAGCAACATCAACACATTTTCCTGTCTACAAGTGGATTTTTAAACCTCTTAATTCCCAATCAGTATAATTCTATCAACAAAACACAGGCTGTCATAGTATTTTTGAGTGGCAAAAATCCATGAATTTTAAGTTAAACAAGGCAAGGAACCCACACAGACACAGAGAAAGAACTTTTCCTCTACCTCCAGACTTCATGCTCAAATAAACCAAAACACTAACAATAGGAAACAGTGATTTTTAAAATTATTTTTCAAAACCTACAGTTCACTGATGACATATTTGTTACTTTCCTATTAAATTGCTGAGCAGACAACATTGCTGTAGGAGGTTTGATGGTTCATCCAGCCCCTCACAAAAAACGTTTCAGCTTTATTTATGTGGGGAATCCCAAAGACAGGCTCCATCCCTTCCACAGCAAGCACAGGCAGACGTAAATACTTCAGCTTTTCCCTTCCCAAGTATCCCAGAGCCCTTGGGATGCCTCTTCCCCAGAACAAAGCAGCAACGTCAACAAAACCATCCGCTTCAGATAGCCAAGACAGCTCCAGGAACTTCAATTCTCTTTGTCAAATGCAAAATTTTCCCAGCCCCCGTAGAAGTGGAACAACAGATAAATAGCAATGCAAGATCCTCTGCTAAAAAAAGAATTACTAACTCTTCAAAGGTGGCAAAATCCAGCTCCCTAATCTTTCCAAAAACGACTAATATGTACACACACCCCGTTTACCACTTTTTCCTTCCCCTGACACGTTTCTTCCTCCTCCCTCTTGGCTGAGGGCCCTTCGTGGGACAGAGGGGAAAAGAAACCCCCACAGCAGCCACAGGCGAGCGGAGCCTCCGTCCCGCTGCAACCACAATCCTGCCTGATACCTCTAAGCAACGTTTATTGCTACCGACCCCAGCAGCACCAAGCAGGGCTGAGAAAACCTCAACATGACTTGAGATTGTGGCTGCAGAGCTGGATGACAAGTGGGCTATAACGGCCCAGGGGGTCAGGTGGGTGCCCACAAGGCAAACACACCCCAGAAAACCACGGAGCCACCACAGCTGCATCTCCCACACCCTGCCTGGGGAAGGGACGCCCCACATCCCACCCAGGGCTGTATAGACCTTACACGGGACCCCCACATCCCACTCAGGGCTGTACAGACCTTACACGGGACACGGCCTTACAGCCCTCCTACAGCCCTCCCACGGCCTTACAGCCCTCCTACAGCCCTCCTACAGCCCTCCCACAGCCTTACAGCCCTCCTACAGCCCTCCCACGGCCTTACAGCCCTCCTACAGCCCTCCCACGGCCTTACAGCCCTCCTACAGCCCTCCCACGGCCTTACAGCCCTCCTACAGCCCTCCCACGGCCTTACAGCCCTCCTACAGCCCTCCTACAGCCCTCCCACAGCCTTACAGCCCTCCTACAGCCCTCCCACGGCCTTACAGCCCTCCTACAGCCCTCCCACGGCCTTACAGCCCTCCTACAGCCCTCCCACGGCCTTACAGCCCTCCTACAGCCCTCCCACGGCCTTACAGCCCTCCTACAGCCCTCCTACAGCCCTCCCACAGCCTTACAGCCCTCCTACAGCCCTCCCACGGCCTTACAGCCCTCCTACAGCCCTCCCACGGCCTTACAGCCCTCCTACAGCCCTCCTACAGCCCTCCCACGGCCTTACAGCCCTCCTACAGCCCTCCTACAGCCCTCCCACGACCTTACAGCCCTCCTACAGCCCTCCCACGGCCTTACAGCCCTCCTACAGCCCTCCTACAGCCCTCCCACAGCCTTACAGCCCTCCTACAGCCCGCCCACGCAGCCCCGATGCCCCCCGAACACACACACACACACACACACACACACACACACACACACACACACACACACACACACACACACACACACACACACACACACACACACACACACACACACACACACACACACACACACACACACACACACACACACACACACACACACGAACACACACACACACACACACACACACACACACACACACACACACTCGCACCTGGGACGTGCAGAGACCGGGGAGGCACCAGCCCGAGGGAGGAGAAGGACCCCACCTTCTCCTCGCAAACGCTTATTAAAAATCGAGGTTGCGCGTTGATAAAATCGACTGCAGGCACCTGAGAGCAATTCTGCCGCCCAAACGGGAAGGGGAGGCGGGAGCGTCTTCCCCGGGGCTGGGCTGGCGGCTCTTCCCTCACCTGCCCCTGCTGCGGGCACTGGGGATCATCATCCTCATCATCATCATCATCGCCTGGGAGCTGCACCAGCCCAAACCCTCAGCCCTGTTGTGAAATAAGTGCCCCTGCTGAGGTGCGGTCTGAGTTACCAGATGGTTGTGCACACGCAATCTCTTTTCATAAGGTGGGGAACTCTTGCTAAAACAGACGCAAAAGCCTGGAAGTCCTGGGGTTGCTCCTCACCCCCGGGCAAAGCGGGTGTTCCAGCGCCCCAGCCCCTCACAGGGGGCAACCCTGACAAAGGGACCCGCCTAAATGTCTCGGTAAGCTGCTCAGCACTGCCAGGAATCATCTTCAAGTCAAACCCAGGCTGAGAGAAAGAGCTAGATGAAAGCTAGGTCTGCTTTTAAAACCAAGTCCCTCAGAAGCAGGACTGTGGCACTTCCTGCTGCAGGATTTGCACAACGCTGCTCATCATCAAAAGGTGTTGTCTCTCCTGCTACCACTACTAGAATAAGCACATCTATTCAGTGTATGAGTAGTGCTTTCAAAGGCAAGTATTTCTAATTTCTCACACAAATTGTTAACCACACTCCACGTCCTATCTGCCATCGATACTTTGCAGCAGGCAACTTGGTATTTGTCAGAATAAAACCGCATTTTTATCAATATATGCAAATTCACTCATAGATGTCAAAATGAAGACATTAGTTCCCACATAACCCAAATACAAGATGCAATTCTGCAAACAAAGCAAAAACAACTCAGCTTCTGTCTAGCCCAGGAATATGCAAAACAGGATGCAGAGCCTTGTGTCAGTTTCTCCCAAAACTTCAGTCATCACTTGGGCAGACCAATTAATAGTGCTCTGCTGTAAATGAGTTAAAACAGACCTGGGATCCATTTCCACATTGGATTAGGTATGACAAAGCAAGAACACAATCCTGTGCAGGATTGTAGTGGCAAAGGAGAAGCTAGTCCTGCATGACCAGAATTCTGATGCAAGAGTGGACTGAGAACAAAAATTAGCAAATGCAGAGGTGGAAAATGCATGGAGCCTGGCTTTGCTGTGGAACAGGCAAGGAGTAATGCCCAGGGACCTGTCCCATCAAGGCCCTACAGACAGGCAGGTCTCATTATTAGAATCTTTTATAACCTTCTTTATTGTTTTGAGGCTTAAATATCAAACAGTACAAAATTCTAGTAGAGTTTAAAGACACGGAAATACTGGTTATTTCAAAATTATTTTATAGAAGCAAAACAAGTAGGAGGAGCAAGGCTTTACTTTCACATACAAAACAAGTGGGTTTGGTTTGGTTTTTTAAAGTGTCCAGGGAAGTCTTTGACAGCTGCACTTCTCAAGCCTAACAGCAAGCTGTGCATGGTTTCTGCCAATGAGTCTGACAAACATATTAGGGATGATCTGAACAGAAAACTGACAGAAGTTCCAAGATGTAATACAAAACTGCATGATAGTAACACAAACAGATGCTATTTTTTTAACTATTGTTCAGAAACACAAGGCATTTACTGCAGGAGTGCACTCTTCAGCTTCTATGAGAAGCATTCAGGAATTTGCTACTGGTGTTTCAGTAGAGACTTTCTTGCATGTCAACATCTATCCTCACCCAGAAGGAAACTTAAGAAATACTTTTTTCCCTTCACCCTTGTTGCTATCTTCATTCTTCTGTTCTTCAGCACAGTCAGAGGTGTCAGCCCCAGCCCACCAGCAGTTTGTTGCTGTTCAGCTGTTTGAAACAGTCTTCATTTTACTGTCATTTTTATCTTCTTTAACTTTCTTTTTTTCCTTAATATTTTCCTTTGTAGTTTTCCTACAAGAAACACATTGGAGACCAAGACACATGAACATAATACATGAAGCACACAGCAGAGGCACATTAGTTGTTTTATTATTTTACTATTAGTGCAGCTGAACATACACCCTTGGCCAGCAACACCCCACTTCTTTATGATGACTTCTGCTGTACCAAACTGCTACTCACCAGTCTTCTCTGAGCTCTGGTCATTACAGCTTAACATCTGTTTCTTGTATTAATACTCTATGTGTAAAAATCAAAGCCAGCCCTTTGCCAGAAGAGGAGCTAGAAGAAGCTAGTCTGAAGCCTGGCTTTAACTCCAGCAGTTTAAACTCAGCTCACTGGCACCTGACACACAGCACCACATCAGGCAAACTGACATCAAACCAACTTCCAGCAGGCAAATACTGACACTAAAACTTTACCATCACTAAAATCACTATGACTGGGTGGCCCATCCAAAGAAGTTATTGGTTATTTTGGAGGAAGCTTGCTGGGCCTTTTCTGGATAAATGGCATCTCTTACCACCCCCTGAGAAAAAAAACTACTTACATTTTTCTTTTGGCTTTTTTTAAGAAGCACTGTGGGGTGGTACAAATGGTTTCTCTTTTCAGTGGTTTCTTAATGAACTTCTTCTTTTGTTTGCTGAGAATGAGATTTAGTGAAGAAGAATTAAATTGCTTTAAAGAGCAACAAAAAAAATAATATCCAAAGTAAATAAAACAGATAATTAAATATTTTACTAGTTGCAAGGCATTTATGAGTCTGAATATATTTTCAGTGTTGTTTATTCCAAGATTTGTTCAGCCACATTGACTCCCAGACATTCAAACAAACTTTATTTTAATATATGTCTAATTTCTATATCTAGGAATTTCTAGTTTTAGAAACTATTCCAAGTTGTGAAAGTGAATTAAAAGAAGCACTAATTAAAAAAATTATCTATATGCATACACCCCTACACCAATTTTCTAAATGTAAATCCAAAGAGTAAAGGACTTTCTTGTATCAGAAACCCAACTAATGAGTATTGGCCTAGCAAGTCTAAAGCAGATTTCAGCGAACTTGGATAAATATTTAGGAAAATGTAAGTGGAAAATTCTTTTTGTTTCCATTTTTCTCTGAGTAAAAACTGCCATCACCACCATGTCTAAAATTCCTTTGCAGCTAAACTGCAGCTATACTACAAACAACTAGATCTTTTGGAACCCTTACGCACCCAACACCCCTCATGCAGGCTTATAAAACAGGAAATAAACTGTTAAACTACTCAAATGAACACACCTCTGCAGCCTGGGCAAGTGTTTGATGTAGTCTGGGACAGGGCAGCCAGCTCGCTGGATCACATTGGCTATACTGGGAAGGAGAGGAGGGAAGAGGTGAACTCCAGCAGTGAGTGCCTGGACAACAAATAAGCTGCTTCTGTGAAAACAGCAATCCCAAACCAGCAATCCCTAACATCTGGCTGTTTTGTTGGTGTTTTTTTCAGTTTGCTGTGCTTTTTTCAAAGCAAGAAATAAAGACCAAAAAATGAGTTTGAAGTAAGGTGAGGAAGAACCAAAAAGACCCAAGAGGCTTAAATGAAACAAATTACTCAATTTCCAACTCTGTCTTTCCCATACTGTGGTGTCCCCTCACAGCTCCACCATGTTGGTACAAAGTTCTCCCTCTCTCCATTTGCAAGAGCTTTTTTACAGCAGTGGGGGTTTCCAGAGCACAGCAATGCTGTGCTTACCAGGTGTGTGGTACCAGACACAGCCACATGATTCAGCAATACACTATTCAAAACACCAACAACATTTTTGCTAGATCATGTTTCCAATTTACCTCCTTAATAAAGGTTTATCATCTTCTGTAAAGAAAGTGACTGCTTTTCCTGTGTGCCCAGCTCGTCCAGTACGACCTGTCAAACACAAATTTAGCAAAGAGTAGAGATTTTACTTTCAATATTTCCCTTTATTCTAATCCTCAGCCCCAGCCTCCCCATGTGTCAGCGTACTAAGCATACAACCAAGCAGCTGATCCCCAAAGACTGTCCCTGAAGTGTCTAAATATTTAAGGTTCATAGAAGACTGACAAAAAGTAACAGTTGTGCTGAAAATGAAGCCCAGATACAAAGTGGCTGAAGTGATGCAGAAGCTAGTGCTGCAGCAACAGAGGAGGTTTGGTTTCAGGATTTTTGCTCATGCACAAGAGCAGTGACATTAGAGATCCAGGATATAACAGAAAAGCCAGAATGTGTGAACATCCCCTCACCTATCCTGTGGATGTATTCCACAGCACTCGTTGGCAAATCATAATTGATGACCATGTTCACACCTTTGAAGTCAATCCCTCGAGCTAGAAGGGCTGAGCAGATGAGCACCCAGATCTTCCCAGCTCTGAAACTGTGGACTACATTATCTCTCTAGGAAAAGGAAAGAAAGGAACTTGGAAACAGTCTCATCAGCAATTTGAGAACGGTGAACTTGTTTCCTGAAAGTTGTAATGTTAATGAATGAAACTAAACCTTTAAATTAAAACCTGCAGTGATTTCCTGCCAATATTACCTTGAAGTTACATCAGAAAAGAGTGTTGTGAAGTATTTCTGGAGAAGAAATTACATCCTCCTACCTGTTGCTGAGTTTTGTCTGCATGGATGACATCCACATTGATGCCTTCATAAATAAGTTCATGGAAAAGCTCTTTAGCTCTCTCAATAGACTGCACAAACACCAGGACTGGAGGAGCAAAACCCTGCAAAAGAACCACTCCTAACTTAGGCATAAGGCTGCATTTCAATCCATAGAAACAAACAGATGTATTTATTTTTCTGCCTGATGCAAAAAACCCACTCACACTGTCAAGAGAAATTAAACAGACTGCTCCAGAGAGCAAGACTCCAACATATGACCAAGAACAGGAAACCCTCTCAGTTTTCATAGGCAGGGTTCTTACTCTTCCTCAGCAGATTTGGCCAAAGGTTTAACATGTGTCACAGAGAAGCCTGGGCTCAAGGAAATGAGCCCTGACAGAACACACAGCTCAGTGTGCAAGAACATCCTCAGTCTCTCCAAATTACCTTTTTAATGAGCTCCCTCATTGCTGTTAGTTTTCCTGTCTCAGATCCAACAAACAGCAGCTCTTGTTCCACTGTCTCTGCTGCAGAGTTTCTGAAACCAGAAATACCACAGAAATGTGTTAAGAGTTTATTTATATATTTATAAACACCAAAATACATGAAGTATTACCTAGTGAAAGAGAAATACTGCATGACAAACTTATTTCACCAGTACACACTTCTAAGGACAATGTTTCTTTGATGATGGCTAAAGGAAAACAACACCTCCCCAGATCTGTGAGGAAGATCTGTGTGCCTGCACAGTTTTTGTCTGGAGACAACCAACCTGCAGTACTAAGACTGACAAGAGAGACACACAACCAAACACACTGATGATGCAAAGAAAGCAAACAATATGCCCAGGAAAGGAAAAAAACCCCAAACCATCAGAGAGCCAGAATGGGCAGTGATAGGACAGGGTTATAAACTGAAAGAGAGGAGATTTAGGTCAGACATCAGGAAGAAACTCTTCACCATGAGAGCAGTAAGGTGCTGGAATAGGTTGTTGTGGCTGCCCTCTCCCTGGAGGTGTTCAAGGGCAGGTTGGTTGGGGCTTGTGCAGGCTGGCGTAGTGGGAGGTGTCCCTGCTCCTAGCAGGGAGGCTGGAACCTGATGGTCTTTAAGGTCCCTTCCAACCTTCACCATTCCATGATTCTATACCTCTGCACACTTACCTTGCTCCAACAGATACCAGAATGACAGTGTCCAGGTTGAGTTTACACCACTCCTCTACATCATGGGCAAAGGTTGCACTGAACAGGGCTCTCCTCACCAGGTGGGAAGTGCATGCCAGGAATATGGAAGCCAGCTGCTCTCGGAACCCTGACTTCCCATCTTCAAACAGTTTGTCTGACTCATCCACCACCAGCCACTCCACACTAGGGACAGAGAGGTTTGCTTCTCAGTCACTTGTGCAGAAGACAGAAGTCCTATGAGAGCATCACAGAGGCAAGGACTTTGCAGTGGCAAAGCTACTAGCAAAGCCAGATTAGATAGATTCTCAGTACCTGGTCAAGTCTATGGCAGGAGGATCTTGTTTCAGCAAATAAATGAGTCTGTTTGGAGTAGTAACTAATATATCTATGGGAAAAAAAAAATAAGTAAAACATTAAAAACAACAGAAAAGAAAAAAGACTAACAGAGCCCTGAGAAACTCAAGTCCAATCCCATCTGTCAGAGGTACAATTTAACCAGGTCCACTACCAAGCTCACTTCCTAGTTCTTCCAGCAACCTTTTTTAGTTCTGAGTGGTAATAACTGATCTCTTTAAAACCCCACAGGCCAGAAGGGAATGAGAAGTGACATTTTTTTAAATTTTCAGAAGCACAAGAGCAGTTAAAACAATTACCAAATTTCTTAGATGACTTGGGCCCAAATTTCTTTGCTGCCTCAGCTGCCTTGTGGATCATGTGGATCCGGAAGCCTGTCCCCTCCGCCAGCTTCACCAGCTCCCGATGGGTCTGAGGAGGCAGCAACAAAGATCACATTTTCAAACTGAGCTGAGTGGCTTTTCTAACCAGAAAACCTCCAGGCAATCCTGAAGATAAGAGCTTCAGACACCTCCTTGATTTCAGTGTTAAGAGCAAGCTGTCCAGTTTCCAAAGCATCTACTTCTAACATGTATTATTCACTTCAAAGACCTCCCAGGTCTGACTTCCACATTTTGACATCATCACTGGAGCTCCCACACGTCCCCTCTGCCATTAGAATAAAAATGGATCCCTGCCCAAGGCTGGCACTTCTATTTCAGTTTAATAACAAAGCTTCAGTATGAAGTTATTGGTTGAAATTCTGTGTTTGGGAAAAGCAGATAAATCCCTGGTAGCAACCTCAAGTATGAAGGGAGGCATTGGGCAGTTTTAAAAGATGATCAAAGAATCTTGAGCCTCTAACTTGATCAGCCTTGTTAGGAGCAATCTGCTGGAGAAGGACCTTGGATTTCTGGTGGACAAGTTATCCATGGGGCAGCAATGTGCCCTTGTGGGGCCAGTGGTCTCCTAGGGTGCACTGTGTCCAGCAGGTCTAGGGAGGTTTTCCTCCCCCTCTGCTCTGCCCTAGAGAGACCCCCTCTAGAGTATTGCATCCAGTTCTGGGCTCCCCAGTTCAAGAGGGACAGGGATTTACTGAGAGTCCAACTGAGGCTACGAAGTGATGAAGGGACTGGAACATCTGTCTGATGAGTAAAGGCTGAGAGACCTGGGGCTCTTTAGTCTGGAGAAGACTGAGAGGTGATCTAATTAATGTGCATAAATATATGAGGGCTGGGCATCAAAAAGGCAGGGACCACCTCTTTTCACTTGTGCTCTGTGACAGGATAAGGGACAATGAATGCAAACGAGAGCAGAGGAAGTTCCACCTCAACATGAGGAAGAACTTCTTTACTGTGAGGGTTACACACCACTGGGACAGGCTCCCTAGAGAGGTTGTGCAGTCTCCTTCTCTGGAGACTTTCAAGACTCCTCTGGATGCATTTCTGAGTGACCTGCCCTAGATTTGGCCCTGCTCTGGCAGGGGGGTTGGACTTGATGCTCTCCAGAGGTCCCTTCCAACCCCAAACACTCTGTGATCCTGTGATCTTGCTTAGATTGACACCTCAGACACGTTGCTATTGCACAGAAAACATAAGACTTACCAGAAACATTCTAATTAGCTTTTTCTGATATCAGAGGGTAATAAAGGAAAAAAAAAAAAATTACTCAGCTGCTATTTTACTGACTGAGAGTGAAAACTTTAACGTCCACCCACACAACAGCCCCTTTCCCCTCAAGACACACCTGGCTGGCAAGTTCTCGGGTAGGAGATATGATGAGAGCTCGGAATCCTTTGTTCCTTGGTTGTTTCAGATGTGCCAAGAGAGGGATACAAAATGCCAGGGTTTTTCCAGACCCAGTAGGAGCTGAAGCCAGAAGTTCCCGACCCTGTAAGAAAAACAAGGACAGGGGGTTACATTTCACTAGGAAAACAAAACAAGACACATTCAGGAAAGTATTAATGCTACAAACTAAGCTGAAATACATAATGATTGTAGTTTTAAGCTCTGATCTCTCTCTCCAGCTGTGCAACCAACCCCTGCCATGACCCTGGAGAGCCCAAATCTCACATTATTCCCTGAAATAAAATGCAATGCCAGAGAACTCACATGGAGCATGACAGGAATAGCCTGCATCTGGATGGGTGTGGGGACCCGGAAGCCAGCAGCTTGGATGTTCTCCATGATTCTGGGGTGGATGTTGTATTCCTTTTGGAGTTGATCAAAGGTGGCAATTGGGTCAGGAAGATCCGTTCCCTGGACATTGATCTTGTGTTGATTTCTGAAGCGGTTTATCTGAAAGGCAAAAAGACAAACTCTTCATTGCTTTGACAGCATAAAATGAAGCATCCAGGGACCCATCTGCTGGTTATTTCCCCCTTACTCAAGTCACCCTCCTCCTCCCAAGAGAAACCACCATAAATGAATCTCAATTTTCAGAGCAAACCCCCAGGAACCCAAGTCTGTTCCCTCAGAATCCTGTGGTCCCACCTTTTCTCTTCTCAAACGTTCAAGTTTTTCTGCAGTAGGTTTTTTCTCTTTTGCATCTTCAAATTTTGCTTCCAGAGAGGACATCCACTTGATTCCATTATTTTCTGACAGCTCAGGCATGGATGCTGCTTCTGGAATTTAAAAAAAATATTGAAATTTCTGTTAGGAAAATCCAGACAGAAATTATCAGCTAAGAAAGGACACCTCAAATCCTTTTTTACTCTCATTTGCATCGATGTTAATGAAGATTTCAGAAGAATGGCAAACACATGTCCATACTTTAACACTGCATCTTGGCCTCATTACTTTATTCACTCTGACAAAAGTCATCCAAAGAACCCAGAAGCCTCTTTTATTCTGGTAAAATAACCTACAGTGCCTGTGGATTTAAAGTAAATTGAAACAAGTAAGAAGCATGAACCTCTGCCAGGAACACGTGTATATACATACCTTGTGTCTTTTTCTTTTTCTTTTTCCTTTTCCCTTCACTGCTTTGTGCGGTTCTTTTTCTCTTTCCTGCCATCTCTCCGTCGCTGTTCCCTGCTCCATCCTCCTGCTCCTCCCCACCCTTCAGCTCCTCTCCCGCTGGTCCCCAGCCCTCTTCGGCAGATCCCAGGGGGGCTTCCTCCTTGCGGCCGAAGAAGTCGAGGCTCTCCAGCGAAACGCCACCGCTGCTGCGCTTCACCACCTTGGGGAGAGAGCAGGGAAAACGGAGAGATAACCTGACCAGGTCGCAGCCGCTGCCACAGGCCCGGGGGCGGAAAGGACACGGCCCGGAGACCCGCATCACGCGGGGAACGACCCCAGACCCTCCCCAAACCTTCACCCACGGCGGCTCCGCACCC